TCTATTAATTTTTCAGAAATTTGATTTAAATTTACTATAAATTCGTCTACATCATCATTACCATCAATATAGTCATCGCTACTATCAATATAGTCATCGCTACTATCAATATAGTCATCATTATCTAAAATATTACTTTCTATTTCATTTAATTTTTGTGCTTTTTTTTCATTTTGTTTTGACGTTAGATTTATATACCAAGAGACCTGCGCCATTTTTGCAGCCCGTATTGGTGATAACCTGTTACGACGTTCTGTATGTATATTACCTAATAAAGACCATACTCGTTCGGAAGTTGCTGAATTAGGTGGAATTGATAAAAGACGGCATGCAAATTCACTTAAATTTGGAGCCACATTTAACATAGTGCGCCAATATCTTAATGGAAATCTTGTAAAACTTGGATTTTTGATAGAAGATGCAGAAAACGGACCCTCGTGATTTGAGTAATTTAACCATTCATCAATAAATTTGTCTTGATTATAATCCGGATAAAAAGTACAAAATAAGCCGTATGCAGCTTCTTGAATGTATAGAAGCCATGTTGGATTTAATCCTTCACCGTGATGATATGGATGAAGAAACCAGGTAATTAAATAAACTGGATTGAATATTTTTTGCCAACGATTATCAATTTCTATAATTAAAGAATCCTGAAAATCATTATTAGTAAATGTACTTTTGTTAATAACTCCACGAAGCCATGCCCATGACGCAGCCACCTGACCCAATGTTGCTTTTTCTGTTTCAAGAATTTTTATGACATAATCGTACGGTTTTAACAACTCATAAAACAATTCAAGTTTTAACCAGAATTCATTATCATTAATAATATCGCTTAGGGTGTTGCTTTCTTGTGAACGCGATATTAAATAGGATGTATGAATAAGTGCAATAATCTAAAAACAAATATATTATGTATATATTAATTGAATGAGGCCACACATATATTATAATATTTTAAATTATATATACATATACGTACTTTTAAATTTGTTTTAATTTCTAATATATTTTCTGCTGATTTTGTAAATGTCGTCCAACGGGTAATGCATGGATATTGAGGTTTTAATGTTGCATTACCAGCCAATTCTCTTAATTTAGATAATGCGCGATTGGAATTCCGAAAATGATTAATAATTACTAGCATTTTTTTAATAACTGGTGTGAAAAATATTGATTCGACTATTTTTTTGACTAATAAGTTGGTTTGATGTGCCATACACGGGATTGTTAAAACTTTGCCACCTATA